GGTGGGTGGGTGGGTGGGTGAAGCACTCATGGTGAGGTCGAAAACCTACAAAAAGAATAGCCCTGCTGCGAGCTGCCCAAGCAAAATTCAAGAGAACAGTTGGGGGGGACTGGATGGAAAGAGGGCCTGGAGGACAGCAGGGCTAAGGGTGGTTGAAGGCTCAAAACATCACTTCAGAGACGATTGGCACGTCGCTGTGAAAAAGAACATGTGCTGAGCAGAGCAGAGTGGTGTGGGTCGTCCCTCGCGGTCTGGGGTAGTAGTGGTACAAGGAAAAAAGGCATCTGAACAGCAACAGCAGCTTCCTCATCACGCACTCGGGCGTGCTCTGTGTGGCGGCGCCCAAAGAATATCACACTTGGCTGTCAGACCGTCAAAAACTGGCGAGGAGGCTGCTGCCGCGGGCAGTTGCATTTGCTAGTCGCGTCCAGCGACCCGTGCCTCAACCGCTCAGGGTGGGCAGGTGAGCCGCTGCAGGAAGGCGCCAAAGGCGCTCCAGTTGTCAATCATCATGTCGCCCATTCGCAAAAAGGTGAGCTTCTGCAGCAGGCGCAGGTGCGGCGGGCACGCCAGGCAAAGTAGTCACTAGGCGGGTCCCAGCCGCGTGCAGCCAGTGCCAGATCCAGCACAACGACGAAAGCGAAAGCTCAGCACTGTGCACAACACTGGCACGACACCAAACAGCTGCACAAAGGCTCCCGCATGGTCATGCTCTCCCCCAGCCCCCCGCGAACCTCTAAGCGGCCAGCCATCACACTCTGGCCAAAGGCAGAGTCGCAGATCTTGTCAAACGCATACTGGTCATACCGCTGCAGCGCATTCTCGCCGCTCATGGGCACCCCCACGCGCGCAGCGGTGCTGAGCACCTGCAGGGGCAGCAGCGGGGCAACGACCTCAGCAGTGGCGCTGCGTCCGGGCCCTCGCGACGAGCGGCTGCTGCTTGGACATGCCTGGCGCCACGACCTGGACCTCCTCCCACCTGGTTGAGCAGGCCCTCTGGCGAGCAGCGCCCCTCGATGGGGTGCTCGCAGTCGCGCATCTCCACGCATGTGAAGCTGGCTGCCGCGCTGTGCCGCTTGAGCATGTCAAAGATGGGAAGGTAGCCGTTGCGCTCCCGCGTGTTGTAGTACCCAGCAGTCAGCTCCGCGGCATGTGCGCGGCTCTTGAACCACCTGCGGGCACACAAGAGGGCGGGATGGGGTGCGCAGGCAAGCAGGATGGCGCTGGGGCTACAGGCAGGCATTAATTGAGGCACACGTGCAGGAGGAGCGTGTTGCAAAGCAGCGTATGTCAGCAGGCGCACCAGTGCACGCCCGCCAACTTGATGCCCAGCTGCACCGCGGGCCCAAACACGTAGAGCATGCCGCCATCTGATAGCTCGCGCGCCTCCCGCATCGCCCGCGGTCGGCACCGCGCCGACAGCACTTGCCGCGCAGCGCCCAGCAGCCGGTCGGCGTGCTGGATGAGCAGGCCAGAGTACCAGGAGAGGAAGAAGCGGCCGTACTCTGCAAGCGGGTGGGCGGCAGGGAGGAAGCGCTTCAGTGCTTAGTAGGAATTGGAGGGCCGAGCCCAAAGTGCTGCAGTGACAGCGTGATCGGCACGCTGCCCCTGAGCGCACCCCTCGCACTGCGGCGCACCTGTGTCCCAGCTGCCGCCATAGCTGCGGAAGAAGCCGGTCTCGGAGCTATGGCTGTTGTAATTGCCTGAATCGTGTGGCCCGCCGTGGCCCCACTCCGGGTGCCCCGCAGCTATTGCCGCTTCCTTCAGGCTGGCCAGCATGTACCTGCGGTGGCAGCACCAATCCAGCAGCAAGCTTCAGCATGCAGTTGTTTGTACAACTGGCAAGCCCCAGCATACACAAACACACAAGTGAGGCTGAGGGCTGCCCTGACCCCAGGCAGCTCCTCGCTGCCAGGCGCCCAAGGCAACATGCTCCACATCCTGCAGCAAGGACAGCAACCACCGCAGACGCCCCACAACGATTGCCTGGCAGCCCCAGCGTGGCTGCTCACTTGTCATAGCACTGGAACTGGCCGATGCCGGGGAAGCGCCAGCGGCCGTCGCCCTCTGGATACGAAGGGTAGCGCAGCTCGCCGGCGGGGCCCATCCCCACCGTCACCTCGCTGATCACATTGCCCAGCATGTCGCCAAATTCATCCGCAAAGGCGGCGATAAAGTCGGCCTGTGCCTGGATGGGCGTGCGCCCGAGCAGCACCGGCTGCGTGTCGCAGCCCACGGACAGGCACTCGCGGTTGCGGTAGCCAGAGGAGTCGGTGAAGAAGATGTCAGGGTCGCGCTCCCCGGCCTCCACCACCCACCGCGGCAGGCTGATCCGGCAGCAGTCGCCAACGTTGTTGCCGGCTGCAGCAGGACAATGCAGGTGCAGGGCAGGGCATCAAGCAGCAGCAGGGAAGAGACAGCTGCCATTCACCATTCAGGCCAGCAGGCCATGCAATCCCAGTTGCAGGCACAGCACCAGCACAGCAGCACCATCAGGTTTGCCGTGTGCGGCAGAGTAGGGTTAGGGCAGGGCAGCGGCCCCTGTGCGCTCCCTTCGCTCATGCCAGCCTGGGGGCGGCTGCGAACCTGCGTGGAAGCTCATGACGGCCTGCACCTTGAGGCCCTTGGAGGCCACCTGCTCAAACAGCTTTGCGGTAGGCGGAGAAGTCGTACTCGCCGGGCCCCGCGTGCTCCGCGATGCCCCACCACACGTCAATCATCACACCGTCCACGCCCGCCCGTGACAGCATCTCAAGGCCAACCTCCATGGCCTTCTCACGGATGAACAGGGGCTGCGTGGTGCCGCCGCGTTCTAAAAGCCAGACCGTGTCCAGCGGCAGCATGACGTAGACGGGCACGCCGCGCACAGGCGCGGTGATGCGCGCGCGCCGCCGCTCGGGCGCCAGTCGCGCGTCGCTGGCCTGGTAAATGCGGCTCAGCATGCTGCAGGGCAGGTGTGGGATGCGGGTGGTGGGCAGGCAGCAAACAGGAGGAGCTAGGGCGGCGGTGCCGGCCTTCCGGCCCGGTGCGCCGACAGCCAAGAGAGCGGCCCGACGGGAAGGGCGGCGGGCCAGGGCTGGCGGCTTGCCTGCGCAGCTCCGCCTCGGGCCGCTGGAACCCCGTCTGCGCGGGTAGCTGCACCTCTTGGGCAGCCTGCTCCGCCTCCAGCCTGGGCGCTCGCTGCGCCTCTGCGACGGCTGGATGCCGCCTAAGGCCGCGCCGCCGCTGCAGTGGGGCATGTGGGAAGGCATGGGCGTGGTGAAAACGGGTCTGCGGCTAGCGGGAGGTGCGGGGTGGGCGGCCCGCGGCAGCTGTGTTTTTAGTCACTCGCCTGCCGCCCCGGGGGGGCTCTGGCGGGCGTTAAAACCGCCCATGGGGACGGCCTTAGTGCCTCCATCGTATGCAGGGCAGGCCTCCGGCAGCCATACACTCCGCGCCGTCAGGTCACGAAGCTTGACAGAGGAGGTTCCGAGAGGCTTGCAGGCTGCAGTGTAGTGAAGGGGGGAGTGTGGTGGAGGGGGTGGAGAGAGTGCAGTGGAGGAGAGAGTGTGCAGGCGACGGGATGAGCCAGGCGAAAATGGGGGTCACCTTTGGAAAGCCGCTACAAGTCCCGGCCGCTTCAGCTGTGGCGAACCCCAAGGCTCGTTGATCTGCAACACCGCTGTCGGAAGGAGTGGCTGTGGGGAGGCAAGCCCACGGCAGCCAGGCTTGCGAGACCAGCAGCGCAGCATGGCACTTCGAAGGGCAACAGCATTCACCGCAAGCTTGGTGGAGTCTTGCAGCGCAGCAGCACCGGCGATGGCGGCGTTCAGGCCACAAGGCGCCGCCCTGGCCCAGGCAAGAGGGTTGCTAGGCCCAGGCGTGCTGTAGAGTGCAAACTGCCAGTGGGACAACAGAATGGGGCCGTCGTGGAGAGCGACGCTGGCCCCGCCAGGTGCGGCGCCGCCCGCTGTCGCCCTGCGCCACTCCTCCCTTGCTTTCCGGCTCTGCAGGCTTGCCAGCTGCAGCAGATGCGGCCGCACATCTCAGTCGAGGTGCCCAACGGCAACGTGGACAAGGCGTGGCGCACCCTCCAGCGCAAGCTGCGGGAAGAACACTACATGGAGGCGGCGCAGGCACGCGAGTACTATGTCAAGCCCAGCGAGCGCCGCAAGCTGCAGGCCTCCGCCTCGGCCAAGCGCTTCCGTGATCAGGAGTTCAAGTGCGTGGCCTAGCCACCGCCTGGCAGCAGAGTGCGCCCAGCCAATTCCGGGGTTTGCACTACCCCGTTGTGCTGTGGTCCTCAGGCCCGTTGACGGGTTCCCAGGCAACCCATACCTTGCCTAACCCTCTTGCACTTGCTGGCCTTGTCACCGCAGAGAAATGCTACAGTGGGTGATGCGCCGCAAGTCGCGCGGCTTCTAGCGATCCATGAGCTGGTGCTGGTGAAGTTGGCCCTCCCTGAACCGTTGTTCCCTGAACTGTTACGATTTCATTGCCGTCGTTTTCTGCTCCAAGCTATGCTTCCTCTCTGCTCTCGTTACCCAGCATTCATGTGTATTCATCAACAGTCACCAGAAGCAAGGAGAGTTGTCATTTCAAGCAGTGCTTAGGGCGGATGTCGTGCACGCAGCCGCTCACGCCTCCATCGGCGTCTCCTGCTGCTGCTCCTGCTCGTCCTCCCCTGGCGGCTGCGGGCCCACCTCTGCATCCGTGTCCATCTCCTCGCCCTCCTCTGCGGGCGCCGCCGCCGCCGGCTCCTCCTTCTTGGGTGCTGGCGGCGGCTTGCTGAGGATGGGCTCACACACGCGCCGCACCGTCCCCTCCTTCTTCTCCACATCCGCCGCCTGCAGCACCGGGTCGTCGAACTGCGGCGCGAGGGCAGGGCGCAGGGAATCAGGGGTGAGGGCGGGAGGGCACACAAGGGGCAGCAACATGGCCACAAGGCGCCTCTGGGGGAGGGAAGTGGCAGCAAGGCAGGCCAAATGCAGCGCCTGCCCGTTACGAGCCACCCGGCCAGCCAGTCCTTGCCCGGTGCTCCCTCACCTTTGACAGCTGCTTCTGCAGGCCCTCCTTCTCCGCCAGCCACGCCAGCGCCGCCTGGCACTCTGTCGACACCTTCTGCTTCTCCTCCTCCTCCAGGTGCGCGGTGCGCGCCTCGCTCAACGCCGCCAGGAAGCGCTGCAGTAGTGGAGGGATGGGGCGCAGGCGAGCCAAGCCTTAGGAAAACGCCTCGCAGTGGTGGACTTTGTGGCTGCGGCCAGCCAGTGGAGGGGTGGCGCATCGCAATGGCTGGCACAGGACCTCCAGGCCAGCAGGCGAGCGGGCACGCCCTACCCCCTGCCTCACCTGGCACGTGCTGCGCAGGCTGGCTGCGACGGCGGGCAGCGCGGCCGCGTTTGTGGCGCGCGCCTCCACAGGGTCGCCCAGCTTGCGCACTTCAGCCAGCTTGGACACATACACGCTCTTGGCCTCATCCTCGCCATCCTCATACAGCCAGTTCTGTGGGCAGGCAGGCCAGAGGTAGGGACATCAACAGGGGCAGAGCGGGAGCAGCAGGGCCAGCCCGCAGGGTGCATGCCAGCTCCGCCCCATCCCAACCCAGCCCAGCCCAGCCGCTTCGGCACCGCACCTCGAGCGCCTCCAGCTGCTCCAGCAGCTTGGCCTTGGCCTCCTCCCGCACATACGGGCTGAGCGCGTCGTACAGGTGGTTGCGCAGGCCGTAGATGTACGCCTCCAGCGCATTCTTGGCGTCGTTGGTCTCAGCCTGGATGCGCGCCTGCGCGGACGTGCATGTGCGGTGGGGGTGGGGAGGTGGGGGTGCGGGGGTGAGTGCGGTTGTGGGAGAGGACGTGATCGTGTGTTCATGTGTGGGGAAGATGCATCATGGAGGCAGACACGGGCAACCGTGCGTGGTGCAGGCCAGGGCAGCAGGCTGGCCCCGCAACCGCCACCCCGGCGGCAGTGCAAGCGGTCCCTCCCCGAATCCTCCCCACCCCAGCCCGCCTGATCGTCCTGCCCACACACACCTGCAGTGCCAGCTCCACCTCCACTTCATACAGCTTCTGCAGCTGCTCCGAGCTGAGCGCGGCGGTGTGCGAGGCGAAGGGCACCATGTGCTTCTTCACCTTCTTCTTCACCACCTTTTGAGGCGCAGCCGCACCAGCAGCATCCTCTGCCATCGGCGCCTGGCCGTCGGCGGCTGCCGCCGCGGCGTCCCCGCCCGCGGCCGCATCTGCTGCCGCGCCCGCCTCCTCGCCCGCCTCCTTGCCCGCCTCGGCATCCGCCATGGGCTGGTCTGCTGCGGTGGTGGGCGCCGCAGCGGCGGGCACCTCCTCCTCCACCTCCTCCTCCTCAATCATCTGCGCATTCTCCACCACCACCACGCCATTGAGGTTGAGCATGACCTTGACCTTGAGCTTGGCCTTGTCGGCGCCGGGCGCCAGGGCAAATGGCCCGATGGTGAAGCTGCCTGCAGGACGGCATGCGCGGCAGTAGCAGCAGGTTGCTCGACCGAGGCTTTGCTGACTCCACTGTTTGCCGGCGCATTCCCTGCCTCCGCTCCCCAAACCAGGCAATCATGCCCGTGGCGCCCCTGGCTGCGCCGCCCACCGATGCTGCGGTCTGCGGTGGAGGGGATGTCGGAGTCGGGCGTGTACTCTGCCTTGATGGTGAAGGGTTCGGCGCGGTAGAAGGTCAGCATCTTGGCCGAGGGCACCAGGCTGCCCCGCTCAAACACGGTGCTCGTCACAGGCTGCCCGTCCTTCTCCCAGCTGCAGGCGGGGCGGGGCGGGGCAGGGCAGGGCAGGAGGAGGTGGAGCAATCGGTGCGGCACAGGGGGCTGTCAGCGGCGCATGTTGAGGCTGGCTTCCTGGGAGGCTGCAGCCAAACACACCCCAACACGGCGCAGGCAAGTGCCTCAGCACCTGCACGTGCCGTCCTTTCTTCTGCCCCCCGCCCGGAGCCCGCCCCCCCACCTGAACTGCACGCCGTATGGGAAGGAGTCCAGGACCTGGAAGTCGCGCACCCTGAACGTGGGGCTCAGCATGGCGCACTGCAGCGCGCAGCCGCGAGACACCGTCTCCTTGGCGTTGAGCGTGCGAGACGGCTCGCGGCCGAAGAAGTCGGTGAGCTGGCGCAGCACGGCGGGCACGCGGCTGGTGCCGCCCACCACCTCCACGCTGGCCACCTGGCTGGGCTCCAGGCCCGCCGCGGCCAGCGCCTGCGCGTGGGTTTGGGGAGCAGTGACCAGCGGTCGGTGTCGGCCCATAGGGGGAGGGGGTCGCCGGCAATAAGCTGGCGCCGCAATCGCTGGGCTACCACCCAGGCCTCCCCTCCCACCTCCCGCCCTGCCACGCAGCGGCTCCCAGCCCAGCCCCACCTTCTGCACAGGCGCCAGCAGGCGGTCCAGCACCGGCTTGGCCTCCTCCTCAAACTGCTCCCGCGTGATGACGCCGTGTGCGTCCACGTCGCTCATGATGCACTCGACGTTGATGGGGGCCTCGGGGTTGGTGGTCAGCACCTTCTTCACCTGCAAGGCCGCAGGGGGCAAGGCAAGTGTGTGTGTGTGGGGGGGGGGGGGGGGGCGGGTGAGCGGCAGGGGGAAGGGGGCAGCAGCAAGGGCGGGCAGGGTGGGCCCAGCAGCAGGCTGCAGGCAGCCAGGGCAGGCAGGCGGGCAGTGATGGCCGTGTCCCTCCACTGCCCTGCTCACGCCCCACCTTCTCGCAGCCCATGCGCAGGCGGTGGCAGGCGCGCAGCTGGCTGCGCACGTCGATCTTGTAGCGTTCATTGAACTCCCTGCGGGGCGGGCAGGCGGGCAGGCAGGAACGAAGGAGAGGTGGAGTCTTAGCGAGGGGTGGCGGGTGGATGGTGGGTGGGGACCGCCAGGCGAGCAGCGAGTGCCCCACGGGAGCAAGGGTGGGTGGGCGGCCCACGCCTCCGCTGCATGTGGCGCAGGCATGGCACCTCAGGCCCGCCAGCTGGAGGTGCTCACTTGCAGAAGTGGTCGAACAGGACGTTGTCGAGGTCGCGGCCGCCCAGGTCGCGGTCCCACGCGTTGGACAGCACCTGCAGCTGCCCCTTCTTCAGCGCCACCACGCACACCTGCGCGTGTGGGGCAGCATGGGACGGCAGGAGCCGTGAGCACACACACACCACGCATGCCTGCACAGGTGGCAGCATCAAGCGCTCCGCAGGGCACTGGGCGCTACGCGGCGCCGGAGCGGCGTGCCTGGGTGGATGCGAAGCCCACGTCCACAAACACGACGTTGACTGGGTCGCCCTCGGGCAGGTCGGTCTTGTAGATGCCGTAGGCCAGCGCAGTGGCGCTCGTCTCGTTCAGCAGGCGCAGGCAGTTGAGGCCCGCAATCTGCGGCAGCGGGGGGTGATTAGCGGGCTGTGAGGGGGTATTTGTGGCTGGGGGGAGAGGTGGTGACCGCAAAGCAGCCAGCAGCAAGCAATCCCGCACAAGTGTCAGCCAGCCAGCCTGGCCACCCTGTGTGCCGCGCACCGCATCGCACGCACCTGAGACGCCGCCAGCATGGCGTGCCGCTCCGGCTCCGTGAAGTACACCGGTACCGCCAGCACGCACTCCGACACGGGCGACCCCTCCGCCTCGGCAATCAGCTTCAGGTCCACCAGCAGCATGGCCAGCAGCTGCACCGCCGAGAACCTCGCCTGCTTGTCCTGGTACTCCACCTGCGCCCAGGGGGGTGCGGGGCAGATAAAAAGGTGGTGATTTTCCAGCGGCAGGGGCGCCCGAGTCCGAGATATGGTAAGGGCCGCCTTGGCATCTGCTGCCAGGTACACGATGAGCCAGCCATGCTGCCAGCAAGCTGAGCCTCCATTGCCAACGCCGTGGTGATGCCTGCAGCTGCCGCTACCGACAGCTGCCTCGCGCGTGCGCTTGCCCGCCATAGCCGCCGCCACTCACGTTGAACACGCACTCGCCGTCGGGCCCTGCCTCCACTTTGTAGGGGAAGTTCTTGAGGTCCTCCTGCACATGCGGGTCGTTGAACTTCTTGCCCAGCAGTCGCTTGAGCTGGCTGATGGTGTTGCGCGGGTTGGTAGACATGCCGCCCGCTGCAGCACAGGTGAAGGAAAAGGAGAGGATGCAAAAAGGCTTGAACAGACTGCTATGCTGGATGTGTGCATGCAGGGGCTGTGCGCCAAATGCAGCATGTGCGGTCTGAGCACAAGCACCCGCAGGAATCAGGCAAAAGCCTTACACGCGTCGGTGCCCATCATGCGCTGCTTGTGGGTGAAGGTCACCACACTGGGCGTCTCGCGCTTGCTCTCTTTGTTGAGCAGCACATCCACGCCTGCAAGGAGGCGGCGGCAGGCGGGTGGTGGGTGCGGCAGCGGCAGCGGCCACTCCCACAGTTGGCAGGCGCCGCTGGCGAGCCGCAGCAGTGCAGTCCCGGTCCACAAAGCACATCGGCCAGTTGTGGGGCTGCCCCACACGGGTTCAGCGGCTGATCATGCGGTGGTGATGGCCGGCGGTCGCACCTCCTTTGCGGGCTAACGCAATGCAGCTGGTGGCATCGCCCACATCAATCCCGGCGCACGCCATACTGAACTGAGGGCGCTGCACAGAACAGATGCTTTGGCCTGACTCGCCCCTTCGGTGTTAGCGCTGAACACGGCCTGAAATCGGGTCTATTCTTGGTGGAAGACGTGGAGAAATGGAGGGAAATCGCTTGGGGTGAGGAGCTTCTCCACCTTCTAGAGCCTCCGCCGCCGCTGACCACGCTGCTCCAGCTGCGCGCCCATCCAATGTGGCGGCGCTGACCATCAACATAGCAGCCCAAACACCTTCTTCTGCCATGCTATAGCGATACAACCAGGTCAATGAGTCGGAGGGATACAACGAGGGGAGCAAGGGGGAAGGCGCATGCGGGCCGGTGCAACATAGTCTACAGAGAGGAGGCTGGTCAACCAAACTTGGCCGAGAAGTGTCAGAAGGAATGGGGGATCAAGCACGAAACAATGCAAAGCAGGCATCAAACAGTTCCTCACAAAAAAACAGGGGGGCATGCAGGTCAGATCGGCGGGCGGTTGGGATCGGCGAGAAGAGGCGTGGCCAGCACGGGTAGGCCACCGGCAACCTTCACTCAGAAGTGCCGCACACAAAGGGTTCAGGGGAGCAGAAAGAATCTCACGCGCGTGCCTTGGCGCGCATGGCTGCTCGCGTCGGCTGCGAGCCGGAGGCCGCTGCTGCGCCAGCTGTGAGGCCGTGCGCCTTGACAGCGCGGCGGCGGTCGTCAAACAGGCCGCCCACGTCCGAAGCGGCGGGCTCGTAGTCTGTGATGCGCTGCGGGTTGTCGCGTGTGTTGGCGCCAGCGCCCACCAGCGCCCGCATCGGCTCCACGCCCGTCAGCGTGCGATGCGCTGTGTACAGGATGTTGTCCACGGCAGAGTGCTTCAGGTCCTTGGCCGTCAGCTCTGCGGCAGAAACAGGCAGCGCAGAGGCTTGCACTGTGAGAGTCCCAGGCAGCAGGCGCTGGAGCTGGAGCACAGCAGGCACTGGGCCAGCAGAGGCGCCCCCTTGCCTCCACCGTCTGCCCACCAAACTGGCAGCGCCCGCTCACCCGTCACATCCAGGAAGCGCTCAGTGGCGGCCTCCCATGTGAGGTTCTGGCGGTCCTCGGGGCCCATGGGGTGTGGCTCGTGCGCCAGCGCATGCTCCACATGCTGCGAGAACTCCTCGGGAGTCCTGCAGGAGAGGGTAGGAAGGGGATGACGACAAGGGGTGGGCAGGGCACGCCTCTTCGTCCCTGCGTCTCCCTCCCTTTCTGTCCTCAGCCGCCGGCTCACTTGAAGATGAGGCAGTTTTTGAACTGGGAGAAGAAGCGGTTGGAGGGGTGGTCGGCGCAGATGACCCACTTGCCCATGGCCAGCGCCTCGGCAGTGGTGGTGGCCACCACGTCGCTGGTGGAGGGGTTGATGAACACCTGTGTGTGATTGGGGGGGGGGAGGGGACCACGGGAGGTTAGGTGGTGGGATGGAGCGGTGCGGACATGTGAGTCGAGCAGTGCACACACAGGCAGCTAGCTGGCAAGGGGAAAGGTGCTGAGCAGCATGACGAGCAGCTGGGGAGGTGAGGTGGTGCCACTTTCGCCCCACCTGGTACTCGTGCATGGATGTGTCGAGGTGGTCCTTGGCGCCATGGAAGCGCAGGCTCAGGTGGCGGGTGGCAGCCTCGGTGCGTACCTGCGGGCAGCCAGGAGCGGAGCAGGCCGCTCAAGAATGTAAGCAGCTGCTGGGTAATCTGGCCCCTTCTGATGCAGATACTTTGGCAGTATGGGGCTCCATTGTCAGCATCGCAGCATCGCCCCCCTCATCCAGGCCCCGCCCGCTCACCGCCTCCAGGTCCTCCCCCGTGCCGTAGCAGTCCATGGCCACATCGCCGTGCGCGCGGCAGTGCTTGGTCATGAGGTCCAGCAGCTCGGTGTAGCCCTTGGCCCACACCACCTTGCCGATGAAGTAGGCGCCACGTGCAAACCTGTGGCACACAGGAGGGGGTGGGCCCCAGGGCAGCAGGTCAGCCAGCCAGGCAGAACACAAGAGCCAGCAACCATGAACCAGCCGCGAACCCAGCACTGGGTCCAGCACAGGCACACGCTGCAATCTGGGCCTGACGACACCTGCCAATCCCCCCAACCCTTCCACCGCCACCACCACTCTTTTCACCACCGCGCCCACCTCTTGCCACCCTCTGGCGCCGGCTCGCTCTTCTTCTTGCCCACGTCCAGGAAGTTCTCCGCCACGCCGTGCACAAACTCGGTGGTCTGCTTGGGCAGCGGCTGCACCGCGTCGCTCAGCTTGACCACCTTGTGGCAGTGGATGCGGCACACCCAGTTGTTGATGTGCTTGAGCAGGAACTCCTTGGTGTCGCCGCCCTCCTCCCTGCACCACGCCGTACGCAACGGTCAGGGGCTCTGTAACAGGAACGACCGACTGCCTTGCCCAGCTGTTCAGCTTTGCACCAGGCCACCCGCGACCCAGCCGCCTCCCCCTCCCTCCAGCCAGGCCCTCCCTCCCACCAACCTGCGCGCATAGTCGAGGTAGTTGGTGTGTACCACCCCCACCACGTGGTTAAACTTGTCGGTCCAGCGCCGGCCATGGTGGTACCAGTTGAGGTGCTCCGGCTCCTCCAGGATCGCCACGTCGGCCTGAGGAGGCAGACACAGGCAATCCAAAATCGGTTCCAACAGCCAGGAACAGAGGTTGATGCGCCGGCCACCAGCCCACCAGCCCAGCTGCCTGCGCCAGCCAGCCCCATAGCCGCTGGTCCCAGCCAGCCCCACCCACCTCGTGGTCCGGCACATACTGAGTGGGGTCGCCCACCGGCAGGATGCTGCACTTCTCGGGCGCGTAGCGGCCTGGGTAGAAGGTGACCTTAAAGTCGGAGTCAAAGCCGGTGCGCTTCTTCACCCAGTCCCGCACATACTGCAGGGCGGGTAGAAGAGACAGGGCATGGCATGGTGAGCAGCAACGGGAAAAAGCTGTGGCGGCGCTGCGCATGTCTCGCAACGGGCTGTGCAGGCCAGCGGCAGGGGTACCAAGGCATGCAGCCGCACCCACCTCCTCCTGCTGCTCCGGCGTCTCAAAGGTGGTGTTGTTGGGGAACACTTTGCTCTGGTCGGGCTTGGCCAGCCAGGGGATCATGAGAGTGACCTTGCGGCCCCTGTCGCGCGCCAGGTAGGCCGCCCGCAGCAGCGGGTTGACCGCCGTGCCCGTCATCCAGGGCAGCGCCGCGGTGGTCACAATCAGCACCTGCCGCCCGTCCTCACGCAGGCTGCTGCGCAGCTCCGACTCCTTGTCCTGCCGCCGCTGCCGCGCCTGCCGCTGGAAGGGGCCCCAGCCCCGGCCGCTGCTGGACGCCTCCACCTTGTCCTCCTCCTGCTCATCCTCTGTCACCAGCGCCTCGATGGCCGCCGCCTCGCGCCCCCGCAGCGGCGCCGGCAGCAGCGACCAGGGCGGCATCGCATCCGCCTGCTGCTGCTGCTCGTCGCCCTCCGCCGCCTGCAGTGCCGCGCTGCTGCCGCTGCTGCTCAGCCGCTGCGGGCTGAGCAGCGCCGCCAGGCGGCTGCCGGAGGAGCTGGGTGAGCCGGGTTCCCCCAGGGTGGACAGGCGCCGCTCCAGCGTGGACCGCCCCTCTGCCAGGCTCTGCTGCAGGTTGCTCTGCAGCGTCTGCAGGTTCTGCTGGCAGTTGCCCAGCGTCTGCGCGGCCGTGTTGAGCGCCAGCTTGGGCTTCTGCAGCAGCTGCTCCTTCACCTCTTCCAGGCTCATGCTGGAGGCGCTGTGCACCAGCTGCTTGGCCTGCAACGAGACGAGCGGGGGCGGGGTTGGTGCACGCGCAGCAGGCCGGGCCGGCAAGTCCCAAGTAATGTAGCTGTACTGCAGGCAACCCGGCCGCCGAACAGACCCAACCACGCACCCACCTGCTCTTCCAGCCCCGTGCGTGTCAGCTGGAACCGCGACTGCTGCGCTGCACGGGCCTGGTTCAGCGTGCTGTTCAGCGCCGACAGCCAGTCCCAGGCATCAGCCTGCCGCTGCTGCTGCTCTCGCGTCAGCGGCTGCTGCTGCGGCGCCGCTGCCGGCGGGCGCTGCAACCGAAGGCGGCCCGGCACATGCTGTGCAAAGTTGGTGTCGCTGGCGACGCGCCTCATGGTTGGGGCAGCCCGCCTCGGCTCCCCTGCCCGCTTGAGCAGCTGCCACTCGTCGGCAGCCAACCCAGCGCCAGCATTCTGGAGGGCCGTCTGCGCCGTGGTGAGCAACAGCTGCCCGTTCTTGGTCAAATCCTCTATTGTGCTGGACACCCTCGTCAAGGGCACCAACGCTCCCTGCGAGCTGAGGCTTCGGAGCTTCTGGGCTGCAGGAGTCAGCCTCCACGCCGGCTGCACGGGGTCGTCGCCCGCCATTGTCGCGAGCGTGAGCACACCCAGGAGCGGAAAGGTGAAAGAATGGGCCCGTCCCGCGTCCTGCTAGGTTGGCTCATCGCCGCGCTGGCATCCTGACGATGCATCGCAGTGTTTCTGAAAGCTGGCGAAATCGCCAAATGCTGGCGAAATCGGGCTAAAAACGGCGATGGCCTTCGGCCCATCGCCAGCCAGAGCTGGCGAAATGAGGGCAGGCGGCAGGACATGGTCGCCAGCCCGTCGCCATCCCCCATGACTGGCATCGCCAATATATTGAGGGAAAATGGCCAAATTTCCTCAGGAACTTCATTCCATAGTGTTAAAAAAGCGCCAGCTTTCTGGGGGCTTCGCCCCCAGTCCCCCATAAAGGGAGGCAAGTGCCGACAAAGCAACGGCGGCACCGCATGCGTCCGCTGCGCCGCGCCAGGCGCAAGGGTGGTTCCCCCGCAATTCGCCAACCCCCACTGTGCCATCGCCAGTTGATTGGCGAAATTTGGATGCGACAGCGGTCCTCATCGCCAGCCCATCGCCA